TGTTTGTTGCATTTACATGTTTTTGCCCGGTGCCCTTGATGCAAAATTCAAATCAGCCTTCATTAAATTTCTTATGTTGGTCACAGGTTTGAGTTCTGGTCAAGCTCAAAGTTTTTCTCATCCTGTGACTGCATATAAGCATGAGTTCAATTTCCTATGCTCTGTAACATAAGAAATTCACGGACACAAATCGATATAGTGGGGAAATATGTTGTGGTTTAGAACTGTTTCATTATTAAAGAGAAAATGTGTAGCCGGCCGGATAGATCATTTGGTCTTCTGAAAGTCATGGGTTCGAGTCATGGTCAGGCAGTTTCAGTCAGGGTTTAGAAGTGATTTTTCAATTGACACATGTTTGATTCATTTAACAGATTGCATTATTTGAAATGGACAAAGGCAGTATTGCATGATACTTTTAGATCTACAAAGGGCATTTGATACAGTTGAACACACTATATTGCACATGAAGAAGTTGTTTTTCTTCTTCTTCATGAAACTTCAAGCATCTGCCATATATAATGACATTCTTACATGGTTTAAGTCTTATCTCTGATAGACCGCAGCTTGTGGATGTGGCTGGTACTCATTCTACTACTGCTCTGAGTACCTATGGTGTCCCCCTGATCTTCATTTTAGGTCCTCTTTTATGTCTAATATATGTCAATGACATGTCTTCAACCCTAAGCAATAAGCTTTTATTATAATGCACAGGCACGAGTATCAGACCTGGGAAGAAAAAATATGGCCAGATTGATAAAAAAAATAATGACCCCCTTTAAAAATATACTTCAAGTATATTTCTAAAGGGGATCATTATTTACATATTTTTTTTTTGGTTTTTATAAACACAGTTTTTTTACCAATCTGGTCATCGGGTCATATTTTTTCTTCCCAGGTCCTATACTCGTGCCTGTGATTATATGTCGATGACTCAGGAATCCTTGTGTCTCGTAAAATAAATCTGAAGAAATTCTTTCTTAAAGCATGAGTCTTATAAGATTGCTTAATTGACTATAAATTGTCTTTGCATCTTGGCAAGACAGAGTCTATTCTTTTTTGGTTTAAGTTTCAACTTAAACTGGCCCTAGCCTCCAGGTCACATGTAATGGTACTGCTATAAAGTTCACATCTTTTGTTAAGTATTTAGGTGCAAATCTGGATCAAATTCTTTTGGCGTCGCCCTTTGATGCTTTGCATCAATGCTTTTCTTGTCATCCTCTGTACTAGAATAAAATTGATTCTACAATTGAATTATTAACATTCAAAGCACATATCTTTGCAACATAAACTATCAAGAGTGCAATCAACTTAACAAAAATGCATTACATCTAATAAGGAATAACACATTTACAAGCGAGGGGCGTAGCTAGCTTTTTTCAACTTGTAGGCACATGAAAAGGGGGTGTGGGGGCGTAGCCCCTAGAAGCCAAAAACAAGTTCAGATTAAAAAGAGTAAAATGCGCGTTTCAAAGTATGTTCAAGGAAAATTATCAAAACAATAATTTTAAACTATGATATTGATTAAATGCAAATTTACTGAGGATGGTAAATCATGCACACACTTGATCATACTAAACGGCTTGAACACACTACCAACCCCACCCTCGCATGTTTTTATGGTATTTTTTGGGACTTTTAAAAATGTCAATTTCTTGACCACTTTGTAGGCCCGTGCCTATATGGCCTAATAGTAGCTACGCCACTGTAAAAGCTATAACTAACAGCCAATGAAAACTGAACCTAAATGATCTTGTAAATAAACTCACACATTTTTGATTATGAGAGAATGTTTAGCTTAAATTTCACCCGTGATTTCACCAGTATATTAGAGATATTCTTCTAGAAATGTATTACATTGTCAAATGAAAGTTTAATAAACTATGAAATTCTAAATAAAATAAGGGAGTGTTGACATAATGGTCCAGATCTCCGCCTCTCAACCGAGGAATAGTGGTGAGCTCACGCTTACTTACCATTGTTTTCCCAGCAGATTTTTTTTTCAACAAAATGGCGGGTGCACATGTGTGTACATTTGGAATACTTCTATTTGATCCATACATAGACTTAGACTGTCAATAAGCAGTTAGCAGTAGGCAGTGAGCAGCAGGCTGTCCAGTTTGCAGTAGGCAGTGAGTAGTAGGCTGTCGTTTATGGAATTCCGTATCTTACAGACGTAAGAAGACAGTTTGCTAGGATAAACAACAAATTGTCCGAGGCGAAGCCGAGGATAAATTGTTGTTTGTCCTAGCGAAGTGTCTTCTTCACGTCTGTAAGAAGACACTTTTGAAGAAAAAACGAGTAACTGTTTCCGACTTATACGACGTTTAAGTGTAAAGAACACACATTTAATTAGAAATAGATCTTATTGAAATTAAATGTATGTTCACGTTGAAAATATAAAACTATAGAAAATATTTGCATGGCCTTTTAGCTTTAGTAAGCAAATTGTATTCGCACGGAATTTTCGTGCACTTATTTCAATCGGACAGAATTCACTTTCATTCATGATAAACACTGTTAAAATGGCTGCCTTTATCAGAAAGATATTTTCACAGACACTTGGAGTATGGACCCCGCCCTTCTCCGCCCCTGAATATTAAAAACTAAAAGTATTGTTTATTACAAGAATTAGTTTTAAATTTGTGCTTATATTAGTATGAGACGGTTAAGTGTCTAACACGTGAACAAGTTTGAATAGAATTTCATAACGTTTTAAAAAAGTCAATTTTTTACCAACGCTTCAATTTCCTGAAGATACCAAGCTTCGAAATGTAAACACAACTGACCTACATATATTTCAGGTATTTATGTTATCGCATGCCATTTATTTCTGGTGTAAATCAGTCTATGCATATATTCCTTTAATAAATAAATGCATGTTATTATCAGATCGTACCTTTCTTCCAAGCTTTGCACATTTAATTATATTTTCATAACTGAGTCACATGCTTCTTTACGAATTCATGACCACTGGAATGTTTCCCGTAAATTACAGCGGGAAAATCGCTGGGAAAAAGAAATTCAATCGCAACTACTCGGCCCTTTCCGTCAGTCTTCTTGATTTGGTTTCTGTACTGATTAGGGGAAGTAACCGCTGCGGGGTTTTGGTTCTCGGCATGAAAATGAAAGCGCAAAACAGTGCCGAAACTCATTCCAGTCATCTCACATCAAAGGAAAGCGTACGTTGTTATCTTCATGAAATTATGATATTCTAGGGACTTTTTTAGACGTGGTTAAAATAGCGGAAAACATGTTTTATGTTCAAGACATGTGACCAGGTCGTAATAATATGCAAAAATATTTTGACGTACGGTTTGCACGATAAAAATAGGCTTGGTGTATACAAGTGCGGATCAAGAAGGGGAGCCACGCACATAACCCCAAGCGTCTGTGGATATTTTATGTCATTCAACATTGAAACCGTCTCTGACATGTTTAACGGATAACGTTTTGGACCCCAAATTTGGTAAGGTTTCCTTAACACATGCTTAGCTTAACGCAATAATCAGCTATATATGGCCGAATGATTTGTGTGTTTGTGGGGGGGGGGCAAGGGAGGGGGGGGGGGGGGGGGGGCAAGGGGGGGGGGGGCAAGGGAGGGGGGGGGCAAGGGAGGGGGGGGGCTGGAACAGTAAATGTTAGTTTCGTCAATGCTAAAATCAACAGATACAATGTTCCTAGAAATGGCCATCCAATTTATTTGATTCATTTCTCGATGAAATGAATTTTATGAGTTGGGCTATCTGGTTCGCTACAATTTTCCGTCAGTTTCTATGGTGTCCTGTTTGAGGCAGTTAAAATATCGCCTGTTACGATATCTCTTGTTTTAGCTCGACTACTCACAAAATAAGGAGAGCTATTGTAATTGTGAATTTGACAGAACTACGGCAATTTTTGAAGATAATTTTTTTATTCAGGCTCTTGTTTCACTATCAAGCACTGAGACTAGTCAAACGCACTGGTCTTTGTTAATAGATAAGTTAGGGAGATTTAACATTCTCGTTCGAAGACTTTTCACTATTGACACTGGTAATAAGTTAAAGTTCTCGAAAGAAACATGCGAAAATTAAGGTTAAAGCTGCTTGCCTCAAGATGAGTCAAAATATTTCAATAAAATCAAACATCAGAAATGTGAACTATGATTTAAGGAAAAGTAAAATGATGCAAGATTCAAGTGATACATGTTTTACAAGTTATGTGCGGTGAAGGACTGATTTTTTAGTATTCACAACTATATTTCTATTGCGTTACTAACGCAGTAAGGCATATTTTAACCACTTTTTGGTAATTTACGTGGGCTGTAAGTGTCATTGATAATGTGTAAATTGCTTCCTTAAATTCAAATACATTTTCAAAATTTTCATGAAAATTAGCATGCATCTGGAGGCGTGCTGCTTTAATCATCGCGAAGATTTTTACATTTTGATTCGCACCGGGATTTAAGTATGAGAAAGTATAAGCATGAGACAAATTCAACGTTGTATAGCGCGAAAAGTTTCTTGCGAGAATGTAAAATATTGCCACTTTTTCTATGAAAATACAGAAAGAGGGGTAAGACTTTAGAAAAAAATAGCATGTCAATAGGAGACCTTCAACTGGCCCAAGCAGGACACCGTATATTTCAACTGTATTAAATCCACGTGGAAAGTAACGGTTATTTAAAAGTGTCTTCTTACAGACGTAAGAAGACACTTTTTGAATAGCTCTGCTGGGGGTATAGTCGTATAAAAATTGATAAAGGTTGATTAAATATTCATTAATATTTTTATGCCAATCAATATAAAAATATCAAAGAAATAAGGATTCAACTGAAATTAAGAACACAATTGTGCTCTTCTCAAATATCGTTAGTGGTTGACGGAGGCCAAGTAGCCATTGAGACAATCCCTCTGTCAGAAGAAGTTTGCTGCACGATCAAATCTAGAAACGCCTACTATTTTACGCTAGCTTAAATAGTAGTAATAATCTCCTAATTATCCGCAAATAACGCGAACTAATATTGGAGATGTGCCATTACAAGTCCGGTATATAAAGCGTATTTTGGTATCGGAACATCCATTCAGTCTTTGATTTCCAATAAAATAGTACGCACTTATTGTTGGAGCTTTTAAACATGAGATACTTAAAAGGTAAGATTGATAATTTGCCTTTCTAAACATTGTTCATACTGGTTTTGTATTCATTGTGATTATGTAATTCAAGATAATTTTTTATGTAAGTCGGAGTTATTGTGTTCAAGTATAACGCACTCCAACCGCTTCTTTATACGAAACAGATTTTTTTCTATGGTTTATAATTTCATTTTTTTTCTGCACACGTATCATAATATCGTTTTATTTTATGCCTTTCAGTGGATTACTGATTTATCCGTGAAAATTATATTTGATAATTTCACTGTGAAAATTATCAAAATATAATTTCACACTTTTCAATGACGAAACTACTTTTTTAAAGATTTTCCCCATGTGGTACCTCAATTTTATTTTTACTGACAATTCTGACAATGTCAGGCTGTTTAAAGAAAAATCAAAGCTGAAATTGATAAATAACTTAAATGTCAAAAGTAATTATAAGAAGAAAACTTACTTCTATTCATTCAAATTCCAATCACCAAATTTCGTCTCTAAATTTTTTTGTTTCATTTTTACAGTCTGAAAAATACATTCCTTCCACATGCAAAACTGCTCTTGATGACATTTAGACATATTAAAGTATCCTACGAGCAATAACTGCCGTATGCTTTATGAAAAATTGAAAAGCAATGACCGCCATCAGCGAAGAATAAGTAAACAACCCACCTTTCCTGAGCCAGCTTCCAACTTTTCCATTTTCCTAGCTGTTTTTTGAATGTTTTCACATCTGTCAACACTTATTTTTTGTCTGTTACAATCCTCAAATAAGTTTTCTTTCTTTTAAAAAGGTGTATAACTAACAAATCCAAATGATATCCCTCTGAATCAAACACAATAATTTTCCTCCCGTGAAATACACAACTTTAAAAAATGGCTGCCGCTTACATTTAACAAAGCCAGGTCTAATATAAATTCGCAGTAAGTAACAGAAATTTGGATGGATGGTTGGACTTTTTCTCCTACAAGAATTGTTTGTTTTTATTATTAAGGAGAAATGACTGCCTTGATATTTTTAATCTAAGGAAAGATTTAGTAATAAATACTAGAACCAATTTCCAAGATATGGGGGCTGGGCAGCACCGCCTGACATAAAATTGAAATATTCTCAGTTGGAAAAACTAGCATGTAATTGTTTAGTTAACACTATTTTTTAGGTACTTTATCTTTTTCTATCTCAAATCCATATATACATTTAAACAACAAACTCTGATTATTATTTACACCCAAAACAAAGAACTCTGATCATTATTTACACCCAAAACAAATATCATTTATCAATCACTTTTACGAAATATCTTTTCACGTATACGTTTTTTATACGAAACAATACTAGACACCTTGCGAGCCCAAACTCTAACAACATATATATTTTTTTAATAAAATGAATAATATCACCGTCATTTAACGTTGATTGCCGAACTTATTTTTAAGCTCAAGACTTCTTGTATTTAATGAGAAATTCCGATTAAATGGGGCTCTCCTGAGGCGGGTGACGTTGGTAACTCTGTTACAAATTCTTGTTCTTTTTATTATTATGGTTACTTTCGAGTTTCAATTTGAGTTAAATAGCTTTTTATCATCATTGTTATTATAATTATTTTCGGTACTATTATTATTATTATTACACTGTGCTCAAATATCCGTCATATATATGGCCAGAATCTACAGAGGGCTGTGAACTCGAGCCCCTCTAGAAAGTCTGTCCCTGCTGATACAGTCGTGTGAAGATGATACTTCATTATTTCACCCTTAAATTGTACATTTTATTAAACATCTTTAAAAATGTAGTTAAATCCTATCAAAACCTATCAACTGCACACAAAAGGCTAAATATTCAGGGGAAATAACTCCATGTTTAAAGGACCAGGACAGTCAGAAGACATGCGCATCTCCTTTCTGAAATCCAGTGAGTACTTGCAGAGAAATAGTGCGGAAACAAATGTTACTCTATATACATAGTGCATTGCTAATCATTCATAATTCTGTGTTAAAAGTTCCGACCGGGACAGTCGAATAACATGCGCATCTTCTCCTGGTGTTGGAGGTACTCACAAAGTTTCATGGACATTTTAAAAGGTGTTGTTACAGACTATATGCTTTCGGGGAGCATAAAAAATGTTTGGTCAGTCTGATTAAAAAAAGTATTCTTTCTGAGCTTTTCTATTAAGCAAAATACTAAAAATTCTTAACATTTTAATAACCCTTTTAATTTATATTTTCAAAATATCGACGAAGTGCTGCAGTATGCTATTAGAAAAATGCATATGGCATACTGCGTGACCTCTTCCGACGCAATATGTCTTACTGCAGCAGTAAGCCTTTAAATGTGCGGCAGTATGCCATATAACCTGCGGCAGGCGCATGTCGCTAAAATCAAGTGTCAAGTATTTTCATAAATTTTGTAAACTCTACACCAAATATCGAAATTCGGAGAATGCTATGCCATGTAGATTTGATTAATGTTTCCCGAGAACGTAAAGTTGTTATAATTGTGTTTGGAATGTAGTTGTGGCGGCGTTTCCCAGTTAGCGAATTTAGCGACGAAATGGACCGTTTCATCATGAAACAGAATATTTTTGCTCCAATTTTCATATAAACAGCGATTCAGATTAAAGACAAACACATGTAAAGTAGATATAATGCATGGAAATGAAATAAGATTGAAATCAGACCAAACCATTAGTTAATAAATTTTTTATAGGTATTTGTTCTGGGAGAAAGCTCTGTCGTAAAGGAGGTAGACATGTCGTCAAAGAGATACGACGTAGCTCTATGGTTACGTATAAAGTGTCTGATTGTTTGTGTATATGTTATTCATTTTATTTATCTCGGCACAAACATTTAATAAAAACAATATTATACTAATGTTATTACTATACATTTATATCATGACGTAATTTACATAATAAAACATTAACATTTACAGCGTTCAAATTGTTATCGACTCATTCTTTTTCACTGCACGCAACTTTTACTTTTATATTTGTGATAATAGCATACTGTAGTATCTTTACTTGTGTAGTATTGAATGAAGTATTGAACCTGCGCTCATTCAATGTCCTTTTAGTTTATACATATACAATCACTTTTCCAAGTTACATTTAGAACTTAACTTAAAAATACATGTTAAGATTTTTTAACTTTTGTACAGAACTTACAAAAACATAAACAGTAAATATTTGTCCTTTTTCAGATGACTGACACGAGTAGTTTTGCTTATATGTCGGATACACTCAATATTAAAATACATAATGTAATACATGTATATACGAAATTGTATTTTAAGATACAGTCAGATCGAAATTCTCACGAATGATCTTAAAAAATAAACATTGTCATGGAAATATTTTTGATGGTGGTGTTTAAAGTATAATGTTTCAGCAACCGTACGCGCTAATTCACTCCTTCAGTTTCATGTACAATATAGATATTAGTTTATTTTTTTTCCGTGGTGCTCGTTTCGGCCACAGAATTGCACAATTTTGCATTACTTTTTCACACTGCCTGCGTTATTTGCACCACACTGCATTACTGGATATTCATGGTGTTTAACGGAAAAATGGACTAGCTGGACTAGTATGTTAGCTAAAAAGTAAACTCACTGGACATTTTAAATAGAGAACAAACAATCTTCTCAGAAACCTTTAAAAACAAGAACACCAAAATTAAGGTCAATAAATATTTCTTGTTGCAACTATCGCATTCATATTTCTATTTCTTTCTTCATAATTATACCCGCTATATCAACATCATGAAGATCTTTTTCACCGAAAACCTTTTCAATTTTTTGCCCATATCATTTTTGGTCCCCTTAAAAACCATAGAACTATCTCCTTAGTGACATGACTACCACCTTCACAACAAAGCTGTCTCCCAGAACAAATATCCTATATTTTCTTTTTTACTAATGTTTTGATCTGATTTCAATCTTAATTCATTTCTAGACCTAATATCTTCTTGAAACGTATTTGTTTTTAATCTGAATCGCTGTTTTGATGAAAATTGGAGGAAAAATAATTTGTTCAACGCTGAAATCGCTAACTGGGAAACGCCAGAGCGGAGCGTTATTTAGAGCTAACTTTAATCAGATTGCATGTAACAAATAAGTAGATATATAAATTAAAAGAAGTATCAAAATACCGTTATATGTGGAAGTTAAACACATTGTTGTTCTTTGTTAGAAAAAAAGTGGCCTAGTGGTTAAGGTGTCTGCCTCTCAACTCAGAGATCATGGGTTCGAGCCCTACACGGGTCACGACCATGTTTCTTCATATGACACCAGTACTGGTTGGTCCCAGGAAGCAGACTCGAAAGTGATTAATATAAGTTGCAAGAACTTGTTTCGCAATCGTTCTTAAAACCAAACCGACCTCGGAGTTAATACGAATTGAAAGTAGTCCTACCACTTGGTTTCAGATGTAAACAAAAAGAGAGAGTGTAATTTTCGATAATATTAAACGAATGTATATATTTGACATCCAAACAAAGATAAAGTATGTTTCGGTACAATAATAATTGAAAATATGTCTGACATCTATATTTGATTTAAATATACCCAAATATTCCCACTTGTGTACTATTTTAAACAAATCCGACTTAGAGTCTACAGGTTGTCATTTTTTTATTTTCGGTTTCTACAACCATAAAAATAAAAATTGTGTATTGTTTGTTTGTTAGTTCACTTATTTATCTAATTTAACTATCTTGAGCACATAATTAAAATGTAATTAATAAAATATCTTTAACTTCTGGGTTCTAAAGTTTTTGTTGTTTTTTTTTTAAAAAAAATATTTATCAGAAAAATAAAAACAGAATTGTTATTCATTTCTTTAAATTTTTGTTTAGAATAAAATATTTTGGTTCGTTAACTTACTGTGTTATGCGTTTTGGTAATAACGTTGCACAGATTCGGCGTTACTTTTACGCTATTTGCACATTCCTGCGTTACTGGATATGCACGGTGTTATTGACTTGCGTGTATTTTAAGTAAAAATTTTATATGTATATAATAATGAAATAACTGGTACTGTTCTTAGGTATCAGATGTATAACTGACAATGTCATTTAAAACTTTATATCATATTTTTAACACAAATACAAACAAGAAATGTCGAACGACACATAGGCCCCCCCTTCTTAGCCCTTGACTTATACTATTGGCAATTTTGTTATAGAAACATGCTATAGATGGGTACATGGAACTGTTCAGTTATGGAAAAAAATAATGACCAATATATGACCTGAAACTGAATGAAATTTATCATTAATAAGTTATACAAGTTGGAGGGTAGCTGGAATAAAATATATATTATCATATAAATGTAACCATTCTGACATTTAAGGCCCCTGTGTCCTTGACCTTTGACTCCAAAATCAATAGGGGTCATCTACTTGTTATAGGCATTCAATATGTGGAATATTAAGAGTTTGTAAGAAAATGAGCCGAAACCATTCTGACATTAAGGGCCATGTGACCTTGACCTAGTGACCCCAAAAACAACAGGGATCATCTACTAGTTATGACCAATTAATATGTAAAATATGAAGACTTTGTGATAAATAGTTTTCAAAATTATCAGTGGAAACCATTTTGATATTTAAAGCGACTGTGGCCTTGACCTTTGACCTAGTGACCCCAAAATCATTAAGGGTTATCTAGTAGCTATTACCAATCAGTATGTAAATAATGAAGACTTTGTGATAAGTAGTTTTCAAGATAATTAGCAGAAACCATTCTGACATTTAAGGCCCTGTGACATTGACCTTTGCCCTAGTGATCCAGATTCCTTTAACCTAGTTACCCCAAAATCATAAGTAGTCATCTATTAGTTATTACCAATCAGTATGTAGAATATGACGATGTGATAAATAGTTTTCAAGATAATCAGCAGAAACCATTCTGACATTTAAGGAATCTGTGGCCTTGACATTTCACCTGGTGATCCCAAAATCAGTAGGGTCATCTACTAGTAATGACCAATCAGTATGTGAAATATGATGACATGTTATTCATAGTTTTCAAGATAATTAGCGAAAACCACTTTGACATTTAAGGCCCCTGTGGCCTTGATCTTTGACCTAGTGACCCTAAAACCAATATGAGCCATATACTAGTTATGGGCAATCAGTTTTTGAAAAATTAAGTCTTTGTGATGAATAGTTTTCAAAATAATCAGCGGAAACCATTCTTACAATTAAGGAACCTGTCACCGTGACCTTGACCTAGTGACCCCAACATCAATAAGGTCATATACAAGGTATGACCAATCAGTATGTGAAATATGAAGACTTTGTAATATCTAGTTTTCAACATAATGAGCGGAAACCATTCTGACATTTAAGGCCCCTGTGACCTTGACCTTTGACGTAGTGACCCCAAGATCAACAGGTACATGTACATCTACTAGTTATGACTAATCAGTTTGTGAAATATGAAGACATTGTGATGAATAGTTTTCAAGATAATCAGCGGAAACTATTCTGACATTTAAGGTCACTGTGACATTCATCTTTGACCTAGTGACCCAAAAATCAATAGGGGTCATTTACTAGTAATGACCAATCAGTATGTGGAATATGAAGACTGTGGATATATATAGATTTCAAGCTAATCAGCAAATACCATGTGGTCTACAGACGGACAGACGGACAGACAGATCGACCGACATTAGCAAAACAATACACTCCCTCTTCTTCGAAGGAGGGGCATAAAATAACCAAAGTTTACCATCTTGTTGAAAAAATATTGACTTTTTTTAGTTAAATATTGTATCAGTTGAATGTGTAGAATAATAATAATAATAATAATAATAATGATAATAATAATAATAATTATAATAATAATAATAATAATAATTATAATAATAATAATAATAATAATAATAATAATGATAATAATAATAATAATAATAATAATAATAATAATAATAATAATAATAATAATAATGATAACAACAAAAACAACAACATTAATTAATGAATGTTTTCATCAGTTTAAAAACATTTTAACTTATTTCATCTTAATCTAACTTAAGAAGTTGTATTTTTGAAATAAAAAGCAAAGAAAAGCATATCTATAAAATACTCCGTGATCGTAAGGGGGAATTCTTAAACAACCGTTTTTTCCATGCCTCTTTATGGCAATCTTGACCACAAAGCTATAAGGTATCTTTTGTGTTTCTGTTAAAAGCTATTTTATATGATTTTCTAACTTTTACCTTAAACTAACTCGGAATTGACTGTGAAATTCTACTACATTTCTATGTAGGGCGATGCTTTTTTTGAACTAGGCAGATTGCACATGCGCGAGAAAAAAATAATACTTCCGGTCAATTTTTCTTAGCAACAGACTGCGTCGTAAAAAGGTCTATTAGTAAACTTAGCCAAGCAGCCTTAGAACGTGCGAATAAGGACCGCGTCGAAAGATCATGTCCTTTCATGGACAAGTCTAATTTCCTTTAGGAATTTGATCTAAAAAGTTAAGAGTTAATTTTCTGGGAGATGGACAATGCTAAAGCTGTTCAGCCGTTGACATACCAACGGCATGAAAACACAGCAATGAAATATCAATCTCCAAACACAGTTCTAATGACCGTTTTACGATTATCTGATCTATAATAAATCTTGAATAGGTGTAAGGCACTACGGAGAATTGTATTCTTAGACAGAATCCAATGAGATACCAACCGATGTGATTGATTGTTCCTCTGTTAATAAAAGCCAATTTTAGATCACAATAATGTTCTATCATATATGGAAATTACGACTATTACTTGGTATTGACCATTGTACCGTTTATTGCATGTTAAGCGAATGTCAGCAAGCAATGAGTTGTGGTCAGAAAATGGATGTGCATTGACTATGTCATGGAAGTCATTTAGTACCTTGCTTCTAATTACATGTGATATGAATATATCTGACACACTACATGTGAATCAGACATTTCAGGCATACATAGTGTATCTTTCTTATTTATATAGCGCACAATACTAGTATACGTGAATCAAATATTTCAGGCATACAAAACGTATCTATAAACTAATTTATATAGCGCACAATATACGTAAATCGGACATTTTAGGCATACATAATGTATCTATAAACTTATTTATGTAGCGTACAATATACGTAAATCGGACATTTCAGGCGTATCTAACTTATTAATATAGCGCACAATCAACGTGAATATACATTTGTATCTACAGACTTATTTATATAGCGCACAATATACGTAAATCGGACATTTTAGGCATACATAATGTATCTATAAACTTATTTATGTAGCGTACAATATACGTAAATCGGACATTTCAGGCGTATCTAACTTATTAATATAGCGCACAATCAACGTGAATATACATTTGTATCTACAGACTTATTTATATAGCGCACAATATACGTGAATCGGACATTTTAGGCATACATAATGTATCTATAAACTTATTTGTGTAGCGTACAATATACGTAAATCGGACATTTCAGGCGTATCTAACTTATTAATATAGCGCACAATCAACGTGAATATACATTTGTATCTACAGACTTATTTATATAGCGCACAATATACGTGAATCGGACATTTTAGGCATACATAATGTATCTATAAACTTATTTGTGTAGCGTACAATATACGTAAATCGGACATTTCAGGCGTATCTAACTTATTAATATAGCGCACAATCAACGTGAATATACATTTGTATCTACAGACTTATTTATATAGCGCACAATATACGTGAATCGGACATTTTAGGCATACATAATGTATCTATAAACTTATTTATGTAGCGTACAATATACGTAAATCGGACATTTCAGACACACAGAATGTGTCTATAAACTTACTTATGTAGCGCACAATATACGTGAAGCATACATAATGTGTCTATAAGCTGGTTTATATAGTGTACAATATACATGAATCGGACATTTCAATCATACACAATGTATCTACATGTATTATAAAGTGTACAATATAAGTGACTCGGACATTTCAGGCATACATAATGTATCTATAATAAAGTGTACAATATAAGTGACTCGGACATTTCAGGCATACATAATGTATCTATAATAAAGTGTACAATTTAAGTGGATCGGACATTTCAGGCATACATAATATATCGATATGCTTGTTTATACAAAAGTGTATAACCTATGTATAATGTATGTTCGTGTCAAGTGTGTTGTGTAATTGTATGTTTCATGTCTTGATACCATTATCTATTTTATCTATAAAATTATTTTTTGTTGTAGATTTCAGTGTATTTGGATTACTTGTAATATCCCTTTTCAACATGATCAATACATCCATTCAGATCCCACTAGAACAACAAGTAGAAGAAAGCAAAGAAGTTAAATTTTGTCTCCTTGAGTGCATGGCATGCAAAGAACTATGGGGAGGAAACTATGATGGACACGCATGCGCAAGCGGGTGCTTCTTAACAGAAGGAAGAAGCATTGACCAAGACTGTAGACTTGGAACTAATATGCCGAAAAGATACACAGATCTTAAATCAACAGACCAGTGCAAGAAACAGTGTGAAATTTGTACAATGAAATATTCATCCCGAAACTATGATAAAAGCAAATGTCTTGAAACATGTGACCAAGTATTAGGAAAAGAAAGAGATGAGACCTGCAATAAATTTCTAAGTTTATATAAAATAAAATAACAAACTATAGTAACACTTGATTACAAATCAAAATATCATGTATATTATGTGCAAACGACTTGCTTTTTCAAGTCAAATAACATTCGAACAATAGCCATGAGTTTTTTTCCAAATCAAACATTAATTTAGATGGTAAAATAAACTATAAAATTAAATATATTATTTATTCATGCATTTGTTGTTGTTTTGTTGTTGTTTTTTGTCCGCTTACAATAACTACAACACTGACAGTCTCGAGGTGTTATCTGGCAACTTTGTTTAAAACATAGCTAAGTATTTTGTTTCTTGATCGAAACTCAGCTCTATATATATATTGCCTTATCTAACATACAAACGTTACTGGTAATTGACCTAAATGTTGTTCATAACTTGTTTTCCAGCCATTAACACACTAAAAGCATTGATAACATGATATAGCATTTAGATCATTTTTGGAAATAAGTCTTTTATGAAGTTCTTTATTACAAATGTTAAGCTATGATAAAAATATACTATTGTTGAATTTGTTCTATATTTCATCTTTGTATCATTCAAATGACTAGGGCATTCGTTTACATCTGATTTTTATCATTTTACTTGAATAGAAATATATATAAAAAAATGAAATTCAATAGAAAACACATATGTTAATGTTATAACGTTATAAATTTCAGAGCCTTTTTGTCATAATTTTGCATGCTGTATTGTTTTGCTATGTAATGTTTAGTTTCAGAAAAGATACTACTCGTATAAAGAGCGTTTGTCGCTTTAAGTCAGACAACGCAGCATTGTAACACCGCACTTTGGGATCAAACGAACTTGGGGTCCGACCCCAGAGTGCGTTTACGCACTTTAGGGTCCGATTTTGAACCCAAAGTGGGTTAAACACATAGGTACATATGCATTTTTTAACATCAGACTAGCGACCGCACTTTGGGGTCATAAAAATTCAATCAATAAAATGAATACTCGTGATGTTTCACATAATATATTGCAGTCAAAGCCAATGGTAAACAAAAATCAAGGTATTGAATAGAGGCAAAACATGTGTAGTAGAATCAATAGGGGTTTTAAATGGGAGAGGAACTTTCATCAAATAAAGAATTTGTATCAATTAATAAACTCAAAATATTTTTTCTCACATTTTCCATGTATTTCAAAAGAATGTACACCTTTCATTAACTCCGTTGTTTTAGCTAATTGCATTATTTTCCCGTTTATTTTAACTGATACATTTTATAGAAATATAATAGTCTTAGCATAGACAAAGGTATTAATTCTGGGAAATCTTAATAAGACATTTCAGTAAAAATTGTGCCTGATTATATGTTGAAATGGCCATTTATTTAGCTCATCTAAATGTGACATTTGTGAAACTTGATTAGGTGTAGATCCGGCCTTTAGTAGTAGTCCGTACAGGCAGTACACAAAAATGTCATAAACTATTTAAGTAGTCACACATTCATAATCAAAGGGCTGCAAGCTCTGTGGTATCAACTAAATCGTACAGTATATCTGTATGCACTTTCCTGTATAAGTTTTTTTATATACTATAATTCATCTTGCAGGGGCACAGAGATGCAGCGACTGCGTTTAGATTTTTTACTGTAACAGATTGAGTTTGATACATACGGAATTTTGCATGGCCAGAGTTGCATCAAAAATCATTTATGTTAATTTTTTTATGACATCCTTGCATATCGTGTCTTAAAAAAGGCACTTAAAAATAGTTGTCTCGACTGGGATTTGAACACCAGACCACTCGCACCTTAGACGAGCACGTTACCCCTACACCACGGGAAGTTATAGGAAGAAAACTGAATATATAGATTTTTAGGATTTGTAATCCTTATTAATTTTGAGGTATTTTGTTCACGATAAACCTGTTGTTTAACACTGATGTAAATAATTTAGCAAAAATCTTATCGCCAAACAGTCTGACATGTATATATTCCACTACTCGACAGTCAGATTTATCTGAAGTATTCGGTAATCGACATTGCTAAAAATAGCATTTTCATTGATTAAAATGACATTCATCCGCGTAATTTGTGAGTGTGCATTTATTGACAATTCCATCAGCCAACACTACTTTTAAGCTTTGAATGCGTTGTAATTTGTTGGATACTTTTAATAAAATAAAAATATTTCTTTCTTTTACATCGCTAATTTTAAGCTGTTTTAGAAATACTTGTTGTTAGGTTTGTCGTGAAGTGCTGTGCCAGAGATTGAATGTCAGCATTGTATTTCCTGAAAATACAATAATGTAAAGTTCTCACTGGGGGGGGGGGGGGGGGGGGGTCCAGACGGTATAGAAAAAATGCTTAAAGCAAAGCTTTGCAGGATTTTTATGAAAATTGGGTCATTTCATTAGCACATCAAGATATGTGCAGAACTTATATGCCAGGTGTGCCGGCTCAAGGTCGGGGGACACACCTACAGGTCAAAGAATTGTGACTTGGGTTTCATGTCCGCTCCTTATCTTCAAAACCCCATAAAGGATTTTCAGGCACTTTGTGTAAAATGTTAACCACATCGAGACAACAATATGCAGAACCTTTCTTTGGGTTACATACTAAAAGTGTTGTTATTTTTTTTTGATACCTCCAAAATGAAAATGTTGGTATTTGCAAATGGCAAATGGCATTTGCAAATGGGGTACTGTAATTTACAGGTGGCGAAGTGTTTAAAATGGTGTTTTACAAATGGCGTAATTATCCAAACCTCTACTTTGCAAATTGCGTCATGTTAAAATATGTACGAGAAAAACAAAAATAAAAATATGTACAAAAAACTAAAATTAAATTTGTATGCAAAATTTAAAACGAATATGTATGCAAAATTAAAAAAAAGTATGTATTCAAACTTTAAAAAAAATACATGTATGTACGACAAACAAACAAAAAATATGTACGAAAAACAAAACAAAAAGTATTTTAAAAATGCAAAAGTCACTTTTATGCCACCGTTCAAAATACTCTAGTGCAGAGATTGTGTATTCCTAAAATTAAAAGATGCTGCGAAAAATGTCCCGTTTTGTCAGTCATTTACTTGATAACTTTTGGTGCCATATTAAGCCCCATTTTAAATATATTGGGAATGAAATAAAATACAGTTAATATTTTTTTCCAAAGAACTATAAATATACTCTATTGCAATGTTCTGGTGAAACATCAAGGTTTCGATCGGACTATAAATAGTGATTTTTACAAATACATTATTAAGCTTATCAAAAATTTAAGGGTTTTTGTAAGCTCCGTAACAACCGTTCGCCAGAGGCTTTTTTAATTGGGAAATCTTACATACTTCTAAAATGTTAAAATAATGGTATCAGAGAAATGTAAGATGCTTGTTACCTGAATAAAGTAGCGATAAATGTGAGATTATTTGTCATAAAAGTAGTCAAAACAATGTTGTATTTGACTTTCATATAAAATACTAATTCACTATAATTGTACTCATCATTGCCAAAAAGCAACAGATGAAAAAGATGGTTCAGGTAATTGGCCAATGTGTATTTTTTTGATAATATAGAAGAACATCAAAATAAAAAGCTTTTAAGAACAACAAATAAAAGCATAATGGGCCTTTAAAACGTTATTTTTAACCATTGGGGGGGGGGGGGAGTCGATACCCCACAATCCCCTCTATACCCCCAGTGAGAGAATTTTACATTATTCTGAAGCTCCGCTCTTAATGTGCGACTACTTAAAAAGTTGATATTTTTAGATTTTTAGGACTACTACCTTAAGCCGCATCTACACATAGTCAAATTTCTTATATGTCACAATTAGCTAAATAAATGGCTCTTTTAACATATTATCAGGCACATTTTTTACTGAAATGTCTTTCTAAAATTGCCCAGAATTTATACCTTTGTCTATGCTAAGACTATCATATTTCTATAAAATGTGTAAAAAACGGGAAAATAATCCATTTAGCTAAAAACAATGGAGTAAATGAAAGGTAATACATTCTTTCAAAATAAATGGAAAATTTGAGAAAAAAATATTTAAAGCTGAATAATTGATACAAATTCTTTATTAGGTGATTTATTTGGTGAAAGTTTTACACTTAATAATCAAGGCCATTTAAATCCCTATTGATTCTACTATAATCCAGGGCACATGTTTTGCGTCTTTTTAATACCTTAATTTTTGTTTACCATTCGCTTTGACTACATATATTATTTAAAACATTATGCACATTAATTATCAAAGTAAAAAGTAAAGTAATTAATAATCAAGTAAATGACTGACAGAACATGATATTTTTTCGCAGCATCTATACATTAATAATTTATGTTCTAGAGTACTTTGTTATATGAACACAATTTTAGATATTTCAAGTGGTAAAATTAATGAAACTTTTGTCACTTAAGCATGAAACCGCCATCTTGAACTCCACCTCAAATTTTCAATGTCGCAGATCGAAAATTAGTCAGAACTCAGTATTTAAGCAGAACTCAGTTGACACCTTCAGAACTTTTGAACCCAAAGTGAGTTGATATGTAGCATAATTACGCACTTTGGGGTCAATTTCTCGATTTTGACCCCAAAGTGCGTTGGGCCCCAAAGTGCGGTGCGAAGTGTAATGCTCTTTGGGGTCGGACCCCAAAGTGCGTTTGACCCCAAAGTGCGGTGTTACACAGCATTTAGAGAACGATTTCATGCAAAAATTAATGCCTAGATAACATAAAGAGACAACTATTTCAATACCAACATCTATAAAACATTGATAAATATTATTCTGCCCCCACCCACCCCACTCCCAACAAATTAAAATTTGTTTACTAACTAATCTAATATTAATCTAGTGTGCATACTTAACGGAGTACACAGTGCACAAACAATCTAACTGACTGTGTCTATTGAAATAATAGCATGTATATAAAAAGTTGATTTAAGTCAAATTCTGTTTTTTCTGAAATCAAGATCAACAAAATAAAAAAGTAAAGGGGAAACTATCGAAAAAACTTTAAAAAAAGCTGATACATTTTCATGCATATATTTTAGTTTTTTACTGCTTATCCGTAAATCAAGTAGTTTAAACAGTAAACTTTGAATTATACTATATATTAAGATAAAATAAAAGGATCAGTAGTGCCTCTGTATTTGCGAAAACCAAAGTGGATTTCGTTAAAAAATACATTGTATTTTGATATTCACTTCATTAATTCAATGTAGTTGTT